GTTGGGGAACGTTCTGTATGTATCAAAATGAAAAAAAATGTAATGTTTTACTGCACCTACCTATTCAGCTACCGGCTTGCTTGAAGAACGCGCTTGTACTGCTAGAAGTAAGCCAGTGGAAACTACTCTCAGCCACAGAATCGTGAGAAGACCTAGTGCTTAGGAAGACGAAAGAGCCGTTTGCTGCTAAAACAAGTCGGCAAAAAAATGAAAGCCGCCAATTTAAATTTCTTACAAAAGATAAATGGAGTCACAGCAGTATAGCTGTGGTCCCTCTAGTCTCGTCCTGTTGGCTTGAAAAACGCCAAGCATACACATGTATTGTCGGGAACGCAGAATTTGAAACTAGACAAAGCAGCAGAAAAAACGTATATGGTCTCAAGGTCGATGTTCAGCAAAAAACCAAGCATGTGTCGGTGTAAAGGTCCGCTCAGAGATCTTTAAACAAGATCTGAACTTTCTGAAGCGCTGTTATTGCAAATCGTTGTTTCCTGAAAGTTTGATACGCGCACCGGATCAGCAGTAATAGGTGCTCCGTTCGAAAACCTCGATGTTTCATGTTTTACGTCCGGTGTCGCCGCCAGGCATTCAGTCCACCAGACGGTTAGCTCCCGGCACAAAGAGAAACTTCGTCGTTCCAAAACCTCGCAAACACTGATGTTGATACTGAAGAAATCAAACTAAGGTTAGGTGCCGAAGAGTATAATTCCATTTGCCTGCAATAAGCTAACCTACACCCCATGGTGTGACTTGTTTGAAGCACTGTAGTTCAATGCCATATATATTATCACAAACACAGCCATTCAAAGAAGACAAGGCGATACTAGCCATAAGAAGATTCTCTAAACATTATGATCATATGGCGTAAAGCAACTCAGGAGGCATGACATTTGTTTTACTTGTTCTAGGTTAATTCTAGGCTAATATGGATTATGGCTATCGATAAACAAGGCGCGGTATGAGTATTGTTTTTGCATTTTACTTTAAAGGCCGAAAAAATGATTCGTTTATCTCAAATATCCATGGCTCAAAGATTAGGCAAGTTTATCAGAAAGCTTATATATATATATATATATATAAAGAAAGTTTATCTTATATGATACTTAGTAGTTATATTTTTAACTGAAATTCTGCATAGTTCTGCTTCAACAGTGCCAAACCGACCGGGCGTCGGACACGCGTAACTATTTGAACTAACATATTCCCTTGATTCGATACATTGGTAGTATCACTGAAAAAAATAAACTTTTTTTAAATTACTTATCTAGAAAGCTGTATTTTTTTAATATACCAGATATAATTTATATATAATTCTATGTATATATTTATGTCCCTGTTTGAGGAATGGCACAGTTGGACCGTGAATTATGAACCAAAGTTCTGCTACCCAGCCGATATGTTTAAAGACAGTTATACTATAATATACACGAGAAATTCGTACACTATCATTTATTTACTTGGTCAATCTATGACTTGGAACTTCATTGTGTATAAAAGTTTACGAAATAAATTAACAGAAAGACCATTTCTGCAGTGCAAAGCAAGGGTCGGGGAGCAAGTTTAGTGGTTAGTCGCTACGACTAAATCCAATAGGAACGGCCGCCCAGTGATAACAGACAAGAGAACCTTTTAAGATAACAGAAGTACATCGAGGAGAAAGTCGCCTATCTTATAAGCTAGGAGCATCTAATGCAAATGTTTTCATGAATATACAAAATGAAAACCATCAGAATAGTACTAGTTTTGCTTACCTACCAAAGCTGCCTGTTCGAGAGCTGGCTTACGAAAAACTTATGCCACCCATTGCATCGGAACAGAAGCGCAAAGGAATGGGAATGAACGGTTCCCGCTAGGATATGGAGCGAGTCAGCGTTATGCGTATAGGGCCCATACAGCTACAGAGTTTCAAAGGAGAATTTGATCGAAAGACGACGACAGTTACTCGTTCTTGTTCTTGTATTTGGTACATACTCCTTTGCCTATCGTATTCGCGGTCAATCTGTTCTGCCCAGCAAATACAAAAAGGCTAGCATATTTTCGAATATTTGAGAGCTCGTAATTGCTGAGCAACCCAACGCAAACGGGAAAGAAAGAGGTTTGTATCGGAGTTTTTTGTAGAGGACATGCAAGGGAGGGAGGGGGGGGGGCACTGAAGAATGAGGAACTTGAAAGGGTGGGGAGAAACCGAAACAGAGTGAAAACGAGAGACGTGTGGTTAGCGTCACAGCTGCTGCCCTATAGGCTTTTTAGCTTCAACAGCCTACCCCAAAGGAGAACCGACAGCCTCTCCGTTCACCGCGTCTCGCATTAAAATGCAATTTTACGTGCTCCCTCCATTTGACTTGCTATTCATTGCTATATTAGTGGCCTTAACGCTTAAGTGGCTCTATTGGCCCTTCGCGAATAGTTCATGGTCAAGCCAGCAGTTACGATGCTATTATCGGGCTGCTAAATCTTGGTTTTCTATAGGTCGACGCTGCCTTGCTAGTGGAATCTGTGTTCCCCCTGCGAATATTGCTGAGTACTACACGACTGCCTAGAAATCCGGCCTTGCGCGGTGATGGCGATTCGGTAATAGTCTGCAACACGAGGAGATCTTTGAATCTAGAAAGGGGATTTATACGAGCCTCTCCACTGAAGGAATGATAAGAGCATTCTTGGAAAGGACGTATCAGCTAAATGAAACGACAGGATTAGATGGCAATAGAAACGAGTGTGCAACGTCTCTGAAATATTCTACTAATTCAACAAGCATGCTGTCTGTGATAAGAAGAAGGACTAACCCAAACGGTTACCTAAGAATAATGTATTACTATGCAAGCAGGGCTATGTCTGAATGTAAAATAAAGAGAATGAATCAATTCTTACTCTCTCCCGATATTTTTCGTAATTTGTATTCGAATATAAGAGCTTCGGTGGAAAAATGAAAAGACAAGGAAATCAAGCTAGTGATGGACATCGTTTGATAGTGGCTATTGAAAGGAGTCGCGAGTAATACGTTAGGTAGTTCGATCGGGCAATTCAAACATGGAAGCAACTTCGATGTCGGCCGCCACGGCTTGCGCAGCTTCCATGAACTTGAACATCTTCTTGATCTAAAGGACGTAAGGCGTCGTTTAGCTTAATAAATTGACGGTACATTGCATAAGTATATAGGCAATAACTCTGGATTAATAAATTAAGATTTTTTTAATGGTGCATTTAGTTAATGCCTGAGTATTGTCTGTAGTTAGGTTTAGCATTGTGACTGTATGCACTTTTGAGTGATTTCGAACGATTTCTTCGAAGAATTTCGGATAGATGTTTGGTAAATGTTGCAGACAACTCTTGTCTTTTTCGTGAGGATAAAATAGATCAAAGGAGGTATCTGAATTAAGAATGAGTCAAAGGACGCAGCGAACAAATAACTTGCGAATGCGGAATTACCTTTTTATCCGTGTAAGTTTACGTAACATTCCGACATTGTGATTTCCTGTCTCCCGATAAAAATGTGCGGGCCAATATGCATCATTTTCAAATATCTTCTCGTACAAATGATGCATAAATGGGACTAGTTATTCCACGGAACGAATGAAAGGAGGTAAGCAGTCTAGCCTCAGGCTAAATAAGCTGCGACATAGACTAATGTACCTGAATGTTGGAAGTGTACAGTTCTACCATAACAACGGGGCCTGTTTTACTGATCGGCTGGTTGCATCGGTGTGCCCCGTGGCCTGTGTTTGTTCTGTTAGATTTACTTGCGGACCGAAATTTTTTTCGTTGAAGACTGCCGCTCCAGTGATTGTTTGAGTTTCTTCAGGATGAAGGATCCAGCAATGGCGTTCGCTGGATCGCCATTAGCATCCTGAGTATGGTTATTAAATTATCTACATATATAAAAGACATATCTACATATATAATATACATATATAAAAGACAGACGCATAAACAGAGAGTTCCATGGCACCGTACGTTTCTTGGTATAGGATTATATGCTCGGCCAGAAATTTCTTTAGGAGCATCTTTGGCCGCACGGAAAAGGAAGTTGGTCAACACGTTATTAAACGTAGAAAATACGAACGGCTAACAGTTGTAGTGAACTTAACCATTGAAAATTAAAGCGACTAGCAGAGAGTAGATTGATAAAGTGGAAGCCATTTAATCTGGTTGATATAGATATAATTTTTATAACGCTGGATACGTTTTTCAACCATCAAGCTACGGCTTTTTGTAACAAAGATTGTTGATTTACTCCAGCATGGGCCAAGTATGGCCTGATTCGAATAAGGTAAGACAACATTCAGCTTTCGTGTTCAGACTCGCGATAAGGTGTGATCCATAACAAGAAGGGACGCACACGAAAGGAGACTAAAGCCAAACAGTTCTAGAAAAATGTTTACATAACGCTTGTATATGTCTAACTTCTTAGCAAACATCTGTGTGTGTCAAGTCTATATAGAGAGGTCGCTGGGCTTACTGAGGCACCATCTAATCGTATATCCTAATGTCGGCTATAGGGATATTTTAAACTCACAAATATTTCTCAATTATTCAGTAGAAAAGCTATCTTTTTGTTTCCAAATTAACCAAAGTAGCCTAGACAAGCATATGCGTTTATAGGGGATTAATTATTCTTTCATTTCTCTTTGCTTTTGCTAGAATCAAACAGTTCTGCATTGTTGTCCTCAGTGTTGTTTTTCTTGTACAACATCGATAAGCAAACATCCTGCAAAAGCTCACGACTCAACAAAATTTAGATGAACTATGTTGTTCTATGTTAGGCTTGCCCTTGGTTCATATACGTGCACACACGGGGGCGATAAAATGTTCGACGAGCCTCTTCAACGACATAGTCCAACCGATTTCTACTAGTTTCTGCTCAGGATTCGTCGCTACGTTAGTTTAGTAGAGAAAATTTTCGACCGAACACTTTCCGTCCGTCCTAACCCATTGAATGTACCGACCCACATTCTTTATGTACCAATGCTGTTGCTGCCCGTCACTCGCTCTACTCCTTCCAGCGTCATGCGGCGACTTCAGCATAGAGGATTATCCTGACTCATCGTACCTGTCGTGTCATCAGTTCGTGCCCCGACAGTCAAGGATTCTCGAGGAAAAGATTATGCTCCATCACCGAAACCACATGTAAGCGTATGTTAGATTAATATTCTATATGACTCATATGTGTATATATGATATCACTGCATGTGAACTGACTATTTTTAAGTAGCTGCCAGAAGAATTAGTAGCCTTCTAGCTTAGTTCTTAGAATTTGCGTACCCTCGCACGTAAACTGATATAACAACCTGTATTTTATAGCCCATAGAAGGGTCTCTTTATTTGAAATATATGCCTTCTCGTTTTTGAACTGTGAGCATTTCGCAATCTCTAGCTTCTAAGGAAATTGGTCTTGTCGGACCCGAACACATATTCTAATTCACAACCTTTACATTAGTATGTTATATTGTTTGCTGGTTGAAGCATACACTTACAAATATAGCAACTTATCAATGCATGTGCCTCAATGGTACGCTAGCACACTGACCGGTGCTGACAGGTCTGTCATGCATTTCGCATACTGAAAATTATTCGAGTCTTTCGTGCTTTTGGTTAAACGCACGGAGACCTTACGTCCCCGTTACTCTTCTAATTACATTTTTTCTCTGATGGCTTAACGAAAGCGAAGAACATTGGTTTTTCTAGCTTCAGTGACACGATTTGTCCTACGCCTAATTTCAGCACTAATTAATCTAGACGCTAATTAGTTTCAACAATGGATACTTGGGATTCGCCCGAGGAGTACGGCTTATACCTTCCTCAGCGCCGATTACGTACATAGATGTATATACTGCAAGCCTTGCAGTTCAGTCAGACTATTTTTAATTCTCTCTACCAGCCACGCGTCCATGTTCTCGATCCTGGCAACTGTGAAAAGTGCTTTTTTTTTTTACCTGTAGTCAAGAGTGTCTACAGAGAGTATCTCTTTCCCGAAATCTAGACAGCACCCAATTAACCAAATTTATCGCAATATCTTGGTAGTGTGCATCGAAACTATAAGAGTATTCCGCCATCTTATTTCTTTGCACTTCGAGTACCATGAACCTCGTGATCGTTGTCGTCATACTATAAGTGTATCCTGTGTTTTATCAGTTATTGTCGTAACATCAAAAGCATTAATGAGCCCTGTGCTTTCGGGCTCTCCAGCCACGATGAAAGCCAATTCTGGCCGTAAAGGCTGCCTTATTAATCACGAAGGGAAAACAAGGGGCAGCACAGACGGGTAACGAGGTCAAAACTACGTGGTAAGTTGTTGTCAACTGCTTGTTCAATAGTCACTTCCGGTTTTTCGTTCGACCGATGACTCCTCTGCGTTGTTGGTAATTTAATACGATATGTATCCTATATATTAACGTACAATCTATACGGGAAAAACCGAGTCACTCAGCGTAAAAGGTAGCAACCCCAGCAATGCCTGTTCATCATTTTAGCTACCAAACAGATGATGCAACAAGATAAAGGCGTCGCATAAACGGGTACAATGGCTGTTGATACGTGTACACTCTACGGCGCTGTATGCAAGTCTGAACCTTTCGATGTGTGCACTGCAGCAGTGCGTACGGTCTGACATCAGATGATGCGCAGAATCGGCACAAATCAGACAATGACTCCCCTTTTCCGTGTTTTCTCTCTCGCTATTTTCTGTATCTGTCAACATCTACGATTCTGAAGATACTGGATGGAGGGTAATACTTTTATCTGTTGAAAGAGGAAAAATGTGAAACAGACCAGGAAGAAATGTAGGGAATGCGGGTAAACGTTGCGATCATATTACATATTTTTAAATTTGCCGCCTCGTCATATCATGTCGGCCAGCTCATCCATGTTTACTGTGGCCGAGTTACATACAGGAGAGCACAACACGACTCGACTGCGATGAGGATATATCGAGTGTACAATCAGATCCAAGATTCGGATATAAGTACCACTGTTGTGAGAATAATATTATAGTTTCAGACCTTTCAATCGAGAGCAAATTAGACGGATACAATATATTGTATCGATGTAATCAACAATTTAATACCGCTGCGATATGAATAAAAAGGATCGAAAACTTGGGTAGCATAAGAAAGATGATTCTGGGCCTGGGGATCCTGGGGCCTAGTTGCTCTAGCGTCTTCCGTGATAAGTCAGGACATTTAAAGTAATCGTATTACTGCTCATATAAATTAGAATTTGATAGAATAGATTATTCTGTTACTGAGCATGTACAGTTAAGTGCTTCTAGTATTTTTGTTGGCATGCCATTGACTAGATAATACATAATCGTATTTACGCTTTATCAAGGAGCATCGTGTCTGCGGACCTCCTCCTTTTACGATAAATAGCGTTGATTTTTGTCTAGCTTTGCCATATAAGAATTATTAGCAGCTTTTTTTTATTTATTCCTTCGAAGGTGAGATTGGTTTCGTTGATAACAGGCTTTAAACTCTACTTCTCATCTGGAGTAAAATGGTAAATTTGGGGTTTACTACGCGGCCTCTGCATGTTTACCATGGAACTGTGTGACTTACACACTATATATAGCGAATATAAAGTTCAGCTTTCTTTTTATTCATTGCAGAGGTCAAAGTCCATCGGAGGCAGATATGAATCTGCTTGAAGTAGCGCGCCGTTGTGAGTTCTATGGCGTCCGATTAATGCCTGCTTTCGACGCGGAAGGTGTGCCGCTCACGATGGCCGTTGGGTATATTGGCATTGTAGTTTACCGCAACGCAATGAAAATGAATACGTTCTCGTGGAATAAAATTCGTAAGCTTAGCTTCAAACGGAAGAAGTTCCTCATCAAGCTGCACCCAACCGAGGGCTACGTAAGTAGACGTTTGTTTCTCAATCGTACTAGGTACACATGCACCTAGTACATACTACATGCAGGTCAAAGACTACGGCTAATCTATGCAATCATTCAATAACGATATAATGCTCTGATACTTTATTGACATCATTACGGTTACGAGCGTACAGATTATGTCGGACGTACGTACTATGATGGAAGTGGAATTTCTAAAAAGTACGAATTTTTGATCCGATTACCACTGAAAACATATAAAACGTTCCTGGTGCTTGAAGATGATTTATATTGTAATTAGACGCCAACAGTCAACGTATCGGGGAACAGATACAAGTGGCGTGAGTTTAGACATCACGTAAAAATTATTTTTTAAATAACAAAATTAAACAAAAAAAAAAGTGGTAAAAATCACTGCTCAACAAAATAGATTAAGAATTTTTTCTTTCCGAAATACAAGAAAAAGCTGACTCCTGTGTTTTGGAGGTCTACTGCAACTAATTCAGCCACTTCATATAGACAGATGAATGCTGTCTGTTCTTTTTTTTGTAAAACCCCGATACTGTATACAGTATTTAACCACCAGACTTGTTAAGTTTGTTCTTAACGATTCTCAACTCTACAATATAACACAGCGATTTTAAAAAATTTCCACCACCAGCCATATAGACACAGATAGGAAGCACAGCTAAGTGAGAGATCACGTAGGTACGAAATGGTAAATTTTATCGTAGTTTCTATTGCTCTTAAAGTTTCTATTGATACTGGTGCTCCGCGGAAACAAAAACCGCAGGGAAAATGTCTGCCCGTAGCGTTTGTGAGTGTACCTCTATCAAGGTGGGATCAAGATCGAAGAAGGGGCGAGGTGTGGAAAAAAACAGGGAAAAGCTGAAGGGGCCCCTGAAAACTGTTATGTCGTCTATCACAAATGGAGAATAAGTCGCGCCTAAGAACCAACGAATGAGTGAAGACAGAGAGGTTCAATGAAGAATGAATCCAACTTAAGATAGCGTCTAGACAAATGGCTATTGATCTTATAGTGAATATTAAGATATTTTGGTTGTTCTCAGATTCGTTGTCTTTGAGTTCCGCTATGATATGAACGACACCTTATCGGTGTACCTATGTGAAACACATAGGCTTGCCCGTCATGGTCTGGTCGGATAATTATTTCATAACATTAACCTACTTACTATACAGCTGTTTGGTATGCGATTACCAAAGCGATGTTTACGCATACGTCGATCAGAAAGGCGAAACAGTACCGCGATGAGTACTTCAGTGCCAGAATTTGCTTGCATTGAATAGTCGTGCTCCGTAAGTCGATCAGCTAAGATATTGTATAAATGTTCGTCTACTTAGTAGATCCTATGAGTGTTAGCTCGTTAGATTCAAGCTGCCATAATCGAGATCGCCTAGTATCGTGGTATAGACCAGAACGCTATAAAAGTAAGAGAAAAAGTGTGCGGATTTCGCTACCCTTCTATGGGACAATGCAATCAAAATTGCTACCATATCCCCCCATGAATAATAAGGTATATTGTCAAACCTGTAAAAACAATAGAATAATGACAACTCGACTGGGTAACACAATCCTTTAGTTTCAGGCTAGGAATGATGCCACTTCGCCCTATACAAAATGCGCAAGCTACAAACGTGTATTAAATCAAATAACATAAAGATCTTAACTAATAGGAGGTGCGAGACATTGTGAACGTACGTTATATTACGTACAGCATGAACTCTAAGGGTATTATATTTTGTAACAATACTATCCTGCTTTACGTCTAAACATGGATAGATCGAACAACCGAAATCAGGCCAGTTGAGATCAAAACAACGTTCAAATTTTTTTTCAAACTGAAACTCCATATTTAAGTGGATGGCAAATAATATGTGTGTATGCGTTTTTACGAAAACAAAAATATACGTCAAGCATTTTTTTTTTATACATGTACAGTCACGCGTACGCTTGAACTACTTACACCATCTAGAAGCAGGTTGAAATTTCGGTGTGTTTTACGTTTTCCACCTAATGGCTGCTGTTTTAAATGACTATTCATGTACAGAACAATGCGCCACCCGACAAGAGACTGGAACTGTTTGTTGGGTTAAAACCCACAAACTCAACCGAGCAAGCAAGGCCAATTTAGTACAAGCGCAGGTTATGGGACTACGATGTGCCAGCTTTCTGTCGATGTCTATGTGAAATCTGTAAGCGAAAATCCGAAGCTAATGTACAGCAATAAAGGTCAGCCGATCACTCGAAAAGCTGTTGCAACATTGATTGCATCAAGGTGCTTTTGTCGCGCGATACAAACCAACCGATCGCGAACAGTTGATCCTACTATATGTATTTTTTTTCATTATAATGTGAAATAACAAGCTCTTTCGATTATTGAGTTGCTGCTTAGAATCAGCAATGAAGAGAAATTTTATTTCAAGTGGCGTGGAACACTGCCAAATTGTTTAGGATGTATAATTCCTCAAACCATTAACTGGCCCGTCACGCATCGATAGTCACTAGCCGCCATAACCAATACATATATCGGAAGCTCAGGTTAACGTGAGTAACTTGTGTGGGTAGTTGCCTGCTGGACTTGAGGCCACGTGACGTTGGGAGTTCGAATCGGAGCGTAGACAAATTTCGTTTCGTCGTGAAGGTCATCCGTCCGATGGAATTAAATTTAAGACAAGTAATTTATTAAAACGCTCTAGTAAATATCATATATCGTGTCTTGCAAAACACGCAATTGCCTAGATCGTACGGTGTACCCGGATATAATAGAGTGTACGACAATTCCCGCGATCACTGTTTATCCGTTTCCATTGCGGCTCCCTCTGTTGAAAGCTTTTTGGCAAATACTTTCTCCTTCTTCCTATCACTGCTCCTCTTTGATTTGGACAAAAGGTGTAAAACACAAGAGCTAACAAGGCGGTATGACGATACTGATCCTGACGACGACGAAGAGAGGAATATTCGCAGTAGCCGAATTTGGTGGATGGAAAGGACCGGAACATTTGTCCTTGAACTGGTCCGCCACACGATATTCGTTCACTGTTTGATCGACAAAATTTTTCGTGCGCTTTTTTGTAATTATGGCGGAGGATAGGCATCTTGTCCTGCCTTAAACCGTCGCCTTTAACGCTGGCAATGGCTAGCATGTTATGTTATAACGCGAATTTATCTGCCGTTGGCCTCGCGCTGCTGTCACAGGAAAACAAACAAGGTCGTTCAGGAGGTTTAAAATGTCTCGGGAAAAAAAGTCCCTAGAAGGCAGTCCAGTCTGTCACCTATGGCGAACGGAGAGAGAAATGCTTGCATGAACAACTGCACCAACTTTTGCAGTAGTATAGCAAGGACCGTAGAAATAGAGGTTGTTTTCTACATTTTCGTATTTTCTTGGTCTCTGAGGAAAACTTATCTGACTTCTTTCAGTCGTCGGTGTCATTGCGGCGGCGGCACAGTCAGCACTAAAAACAGCCTCGATATTGGATTTCAGATACGCCCAGTTATCCGTGTCCGGCAAGCAAAAAATACACTCCAGTAGATGGGGCACTCTTTAGTCATTATCTAAGCGACGATATTAGGCAATCGGTCAGCCATCCTGTTTTTCCGTTGCTAAATCATTAAGCTACTATTTTGATGAAAATCGGATGAAACAATGTTGAATTAATACAGGCAGGACGATGAACAGATCAAAAGAGAAAAATTTCACTGAACTTAATGCGTGCGGAAAAAATTGAACAGTAAGCCGTCGATAGATGACTAACTTATCGTAAGTTGTATTTTTCACTCATTAACTTATAGATTGAAACTAGATGGAAGGAACAACGAAGCTAACAAGATTTAATCAATAAAGGATATAGTTCGGTTATTGGGAATTAACAGGATGGTTAAATTTCTTACAGAATTAATGCGTAGGAGAAACACTTGCGTTCGTACCAAAGTCAACCCTTTTCCAGGCCTTAATAAATTAATGCCACGGTAACAAACTTGACAAAAATCAAGAAAACGGTTAGCTACGTGTCGAGATTCTGATACGGTGATCGACTAATGGGTCTCCTGTTCGTTTTTACATCACAGCATCCCTTTCTATCACGTGTAATATTACGGTGTTTACTATGAAATTATAGGGCATAGGGTATGTGAAGTAATTAGCCGTTTCGTCTTCATCACTACCGAATGAAACATATGAGTTTTAGGTGTACTGTGCGCAAACAGTCACCAATTACCATAAATTTCAATTTTTCGTCGATTCTCCCTACTTCTTCTACATATATGACATAAAAATCAACGAAAAAAGCTTCAGCTTATTTGTCGTGGTACTAAGGATACGACGGTTTACTCTTGCATCCTTTGCATGGAAATAATTTTGATACTGCGTTTGCAAAAAGATGTACGCATCGCATCACTGTTATTGCATACAACAGACCCATCTATCATTCCGCGCTGCCCTTGGCTGTAATGTTGTTTCAGATACTTTGCTTTACTTAAGCCTAAGCAGAATTTTCATTGGTCATCAGCATTCATAATTAGTTACGTAATTAACGTACTGTTTACTTTGACGCAATGGAGACGATTTCGAATGATATTGCCGGTTGCTATCTCCCGTTCCAATCTGGTTGAGCACACGCAAATTATTGTATAAAACGACAAATTTTCAAAATGACTAAATGGCTCTTATGAAATACCTTCTTCTTGAGAACGATATAAAACTAACTGAAATTTAACATTTAGTTGCATGTATCTATTTCAGGGTTGCTATGGTAAAGATTGCGTAGAATTCCATTTTGACAGCAGAAACGCGTCCAAGAGCTTCTGGAAAAGGTGCATCGAGCATCATGCGTTCTTTCGATGCACAGAGGTCCATAAGGCCTGCCGAGTGCGAGGCAAGACCAGAATCTTCAGTAGGGGCTCTTCATTTCGGTACAGTGGTCGAACGCAGCGACAAGTGATTGAGTACGTGCGCGAGACTTCGGCCAGACGGCGCTCCTTTCAGAGGTACAAAATCCATTTGCTAGTTCTTGTTGTAACTTTTTCCCGCCCTAATTCTCCTTCTGCTCCTCCATTCAGTGATTATAACGGCATCTGTAGAAGACAGTATTTATCAGTACCGCCTCCTATTACGGATACGTTTCGAAAACGTACGCTTAATCAATGCCCTAGTTACTTAGCTATCTCACCAAAGGTCATAGCAACAAAAAAATGTCCAACGTTGTTCAACTGAGTTCATCGCGAATGTGGTTAGTAGCATCTGAAAACAACTTTCGACAACGCTTCGTACAAAGAACTATTATAGCAATTGAAATTAATTGTGTTCTTCCGGCTATAAGCACCTCTAAGTTTGGAATTTCGGAATAATCATAAGTTTGGAATAATCAAATCTACTGTCCTGTTTTTGTTGATCTCAACATCAGGAAATTGTGCCATTAGATGCGTAAACTGTGAATATGTCCGTAGTTGTTTTGTAAACGTGTTGAGACCTTCAATGAGCATAAATGCATTGGAACGGTGAAACTGATCCTAGGTATTCTTGTATAGGCGATAAGCAAACTTTTAGGTCACTAAAGAGTTATGCGTCCTACCGGGCACTGCACGTTTTTAGTCTCACTGGTACGGCGAGACTACTAAATTACCTTTAGCGTAACCAGAACGGTACGTACGGGTTTCTAGGGCAATAGACGGCTACTACGTATGCAATAAATGGCTTCGTAGTTTACGTTGGTATTTACGATTGTCACGGTGCTAATCGTGCATGCAAGAATTTCAGCAACAGCAGTATCGGCTGGGCCTATTCGTTGTTATTAGCCAGTTTCGATGCCATTAATGTCTTCTTTCAGTCTCTCTTCCGACCTTTGAGGGGCATGGTATCTTCACTTTATTTCGTTCTGCTATAGTTAACAGTTAGAGGTAACTGTAAGCGAAATGTCAGCATGCATTCTCCGAGATTTACAACAGAGTCAGATATAGTTTGTGCGTTGTGCTTGTCGTTGGTGAGATCATGAGAATCTAAAAATTTACTCAGGAGTGAGAAATTCAGGATGTTTTTATATGTCAGGAATTTTAGTATAGTCGATGATGCTCTTGTGCGCATTTTCTATCCTCGATTCTTCTCTGAGTATGTATCTAAATAGAGGCGTGTTATTTTAGAGCTAGATACTAGATGAGATAGAATCAAAAGATTGCTTTTTAAATACGACCAACTTTGGTTGAAACCCCATTACGAAATTTCCTACCATTTACAGATTTAAGCCAATGTTTTGCAATCTTCATTTTTTAACGATTACACGAAGAAACAAACAAAGTTGATTAGTTTTCGCTAGTGGTAACTCTATAAAAAAAAACTTTGTATATGTATGTATGTATGTAGTTACTAATTATAGAAACTGTTTTTTTTATAATTTTTGTGACGTATATTCAGGAGCCACTTAACAGCTTTATAAGCAAGTGATATGCGATCCTGCTATTTCCCTTTCACAGCGCCTATGTTACCTGTAATCCTAAAAAACTGTATGTCTCCAGCCTTCGTTTAACACCTATTGACTCAGGTCTCGGCGATCTTTTACTTACTATGTCTGATACATTTATTTCTAAGCTGGACGAAGACTTGAAGCCATGGAATGTCTATCGCACCCGGCGTGGGTAGTCCGATTTAGCCCATTTTGGCGACACTATATGTTCACACCCACGACACATAACGATGATTAAGGGAATTTGAATCCATTAACTAGATGATAAAGTTAAGGGTGTGCGTAAAGTATCGCCAACGGAAGTGTACAAGGGGCAGAGAACTATCGCTTACTAATTATCAGCTCGTCTCACGATTTCATGGCTGCCTGACCACGACGGATTGATACCGACTGCGCTTGGTGCACGGTCGGTAAACGGTCGGTAAACCAGCCACCCGCTCCGTTGCATAATTAAAATTAGTCAGCTAACTACTGCTTTACAAAGGCGGACTTACAAGGTGGCAATTTTCATAATATTTGAAGCACATGGAACTCCTGTGTCATGTGCGCCTAACTATCGTACCATATATGGGCCATTACCATGCTAACTTGATTATCACTTTCTTTCGAGGGCCTAGCCACGCTGATTTAGGATAGGCTTGCATGTGCTAATAGAATAATTTGTTAGCCAGACGTGCTTCGCATATCCTGCCTTGCAGCATAATTATCCCTCGTCTAACTAAGCATACTCAAAATTCAAAAATTTATACGAAAAAAAAAGAGCATTATATATAAATACTCGTACCAGAAAATTACACAGAAACCCAGGTCCGTATGACAAGTGTACGTAGGCACAAAAGTGTGCATCGATATGTAAACGTGTATATAATACATGAACTTCACGTTCACGCTGGTGAAAATTTGAGACAGCCTACTATGGACTAGACAGACTTAAAGCTTCTTTATCATTATGCAATTGCTGCCTTTGTCGTATCGTCGTGCCTGGAACAATTGAAGTTGACTAGTAAGGCAATAAATCGTAGGTCTCCAGATCTTTGTCGCTAATTTTGTCCGTCATGATCAGTGTGCACGCTTTTCTTCGCACGTAATTTTTTTCTATTGTATTACGTACGATAGCGTATGAATGTGCACGTATGATGTACGCGTACTTCAAATGTAAGCGTATGAACGTGTGTTTGAATGATATGCTCTCTGATTAGCAACAACAATAGCAACAAAATCTTAGCTTGAAAAGTTGCATACATAATGCCAAATGACCGGCTGCACGCGTTGGATCAGCATGATTTTATTATTCGTTACGTAAGTTTGTATCCTGACAAGGTATTTTTGTGGATCTTTTATAGGCTTTCTTCGAAAACGAAACAATATGCATATTGTCTCCGATTCATTATGTGAAAAATACCTTCGTTTTGACAGATCACTTCAGATTTCCCCATCAGACTCGGGAGTGAGACTCCAATACACTCACTGAACAGTTAAGGCTTTTGTATCAAATCATAACGCCACACCCTTGTACTTAATGTATGATAGCGGGAAAACGCGCGTCTAGAAAAGCAAACGAGAGCTGTCCCCAAATTTAGATAAAATACGAAAAGGTTCCTTAGATTTCAGCCCTGATCAAAATTCCTCTAGCATAACCTTCGTTTTGAAGCTTCTTAACAAAAATACGGAAAGTTTTTAAAGAGTTCTATACATTTTAAAAGCTGTTATGCAATAAATGGTGTAACATACGTGTATACGTGTCACAACTATTAAGATAGCTTGAGATTTCCTTCGACGACCAGCTCTCAGCATCAAACGAAACATTTCTAGATTTGGATGCAAGCTCGGACCACCATGTGCCCCTAAATTTCACAGCCACTCACTGTGGTATCACAAACAGCTACGTAGAAACTTTGAAGTTCAACTTTTTACACCATAATGCACAGAATTTTTTCGAAGATACGATTGGATCGAACGGTCCTACGACGATGGTTCAAAGTAAACTAAAAGCACATTATTATATTTGTAAACTATATATTACTTAGAAATATTAAATTTCTATACGAATATCTTTTTACTAAAAAATTAACGATATCAGCTGTAGATTAATAGAATATGGGAAGTATTCTGGATACGATATGCGTATAGTATTAATAAATAGTTGGAAACAGATATTAAAGGATCATCGACTAGATACGTGACGCAACATATATCAAAAGAGCAATCAGGAAAAAAACCGTTGAAGAAATCTGTAAGGGTTAGGCCAAAAGATACCAGCTACGTTTCTATGAAAAGCGGTGTACAAATAGTATTTTTTTTAGTACAAAACTTTTAGTTGGATAAACATGTATTTTGTATTAAGCTAGTATTGTGTATTCGTGTGGGTGAAAGCAAGCTGAAACTTGCTTATATGGTCGTAATGAATTTTATAAAATTGGCGCTACATATATTAATTTAGTGATTTTCTTTACCTTTTGCAACGTATGTGGCGCCGCCAATATTTCCAGTCCGCTTGTGAGGTCATCGTAAAGCGTTTAAAAAGTTCACCTCACTTTCAGTTAAATACTATAAACGAAAAGCTTTCCAACAAGTTTTCCGTTCCATACAAAATATTTCTATCTTCATCGCATTATCGTCCATGCTTGTATTTATGTGTTTGTCTGCACATGTGTACCTTATGTGTTCCAGGTCATCGAGTCTCCATCTGGCTAACCCGGGTCTTTCGCCCAGTGGAGTGGCCTCTAGCTACTCGTGCTCATCGATGACGCATCTTCATACTCTCCAGGGCAACGAACGGCCAGTTAGCGGACCGCCAGCCAGCGACAACAACAACGAAGATTTCAGTAAAACTACCGTGTGCCTATCTGAACCGAATACGCCCCAGCACAGGTGCGAGAAACAAACACATAAGTACAATCAAACATTCTTATGCAGCAGAAAGAAGTATAGGTTAAGTATGACTTCACCCTCACCTTCAAAGCATTTTGTGTATTCCCGATCGTGGAAAGATTATATAATATAATGAAAAAAAGAATGTGTTGGCTATAGATACCGTAGATGAGCTCGATTATTCAAACGTTTATTGAAAATAAAAGTACAACAATTTATGGTTTATAACATAATGTAGGCTTACCAGAAGCGCAATAAAAATAGATCAGCTTTGTTGCACTAGTCGGTGCCAGGGCAAAGGCCGCTCTCTATGATAATCGAACTCCGGTTCCACTTTTTTGAAGATGCCATTGTTATTTTCAGTTTACATCCTATCGATTTAGACCAGCTCGTTCCAATCGCATATATATATATATATATATGTGCAAGCATTGACTGACTTCGTTTGGTTAGGATTTGTGCGTGAAAAAAAAACAGATTTTTTTCTGCAATTTTGTGCTTGTGCTTAGAGTATCAGTTCTTGCAATGTATTGGATAGTTGGCCTGTGTTTATAGTCTTAGCCTCGATTATAGATTATTTTAGATCTATCACAATTTCACTTTGCAATTGTGCGAGCGCCTCTATGATGATAGTACGGGTAAGCAAGTAGATGATGTCGGGTCAGTCGTGAAAGACTTCTACTCAATAAGGCAGCAGATACGAATCCCAGTTGCGCGATGGCCATATACGGCTATTCGGAAGCGATTCTCAGCTTGCCAAATAGCCAGTCGTGTAATAGCCGGCTGGTATAAGTCAGTGATCCATTATATTGAAAGGCTTATGACCCTCCCTCGGACTCTTCGTTTATCCATAATTGTGCATCAACCTGTAGAACAAGCAGATACATTTCCTTCTTGATGTTTCAGCTCCCCGAAAAAGATTCGGCCGCACGTTTCCCTTATTGTACCTTATACTATGAACGTTGACCTAAACAGTGAGCACCTTCTATAGATCGCAAGTAGGCCAGCAATAACAGATGAGATCGCATCGAAAGTATATAATTTTTCGCCAAAGAAAAATCGACGACCTGATACGTGCTTCTTAAGAGCAGAAGGGGCATCGAGGTGATCGAAGTTTTCGTGGCATCGGAGGAAACCTGTTTAATGTTTACGACAATGACAAACATCCTCTTTGAAACGATTTTTTAATTTAATCGTACCTGTTTCGGATGAATGGCATCTACTCAAGTAAAATATCCAAATAAGCTTATTTCAGCTAACTGCTCTATTTGTATATATGTTTATATATTCCATTCCTACGTTAACCCTGAGCCTACTTTTGCCTTTCCTGTCCATATATGCTTATGTATGCACGTTTAGTAGTAAACATTTTAAGAAAATCGTGCAAACAAAGTTTCCAGATGCTGATTATTAACCCTTCAATCTTTGCAAAATTAGTGCTACGTCTTGTTTATTCTCATATTTTTCTTCAGCTGTACCATATTGGAACTGGTTATTATTGGGCGATCTTTATCTGTATAATGCTGAACGACTATGAATGGCCCAGTCTAACCTTTTTCTGATTTTTCTGTCGTCTGCTTGCCTAAAACATCTGATCCTTGCAGGGTGAACGTTTCGGCAGACAATATCGACAAAGATGATACAATTTCACATGAATCGTATCATTGTGTTCTCAACCAGTCGTTAGATGATCCAGCGGTTAACATCACGCTGCCGTTGGACACGTCGACAGCGTCCAAAGGAGCAGTGCACGACGCGAACCGTGAATCGGACAACGAAAGTCCGCTACATCGTGGTCGGACCAGGGCCCAGAGCCGTAGTCCTGAACCTCGATTATCCGAAAAGCAAGGTCGCCAACCTCGGGCTTCCCGATTATTCCCCGGAAGCGATCCAAGTGATGATCCGACCAACGGGGGTCGATTGACACGACACGGCTCGATCGAGTCGAACGAAGTGCCCTACACGTTGCATTATCGCCGTGAATCTAATGCACAGATAAAATACAAGCAGACAGAAATAGAAGAGTACGAAAGGCGTAAGTCACAGATACGCCGCCATAAATCACAGCCCCGTGAACCGCGCAGTCGCTATCGAACGTCACCGGATCATGAGAGGCTATGTCGTTCCTCAAGCGAGAAGCGAGCCAAGGTGAATTACGCCCGCTGGGGTGAACTGCCAGCGGCCGACAGCTATTCTAGTCGCGACGACAGCATCGATGGGACTTTTGAGAGCGAAATCCGTGAACGATGGACGGAAATGCGAAGGCAACGGGAGCGCCAAAGAGCGCGCCACTTATGGCAACAACGGAGCGAAATTGAGAAGAGCTTAGAGGCGGAGGAAGCTGAAGAAGCGCTAAGCTCGCGGCAACGACTACAGCAGCAGCAGGAATTGGAAAAACAACAGCAACACATCCAACAACAACATTATGCCGAACAAGACCATCTACTGGGAGTCACTTCAGAGGTGGCAGTCGAATCGCCATCTGAAATGCCTCCACCGCACCTGCCGCACGAAATTCTAGCGGACTTTAACAGAGCGCAGCTCCTCGATGAGGCCGCCGTAGAGCCTTCTGCTGAGTCCGTGTTGCAGATGATTGTTCTGGAGGGAGCACCCAGTAGCAGCCACCTAGTGGAAACAGAAAGTGACTTGGGAGCCCGTCTTGAGCATCTCGAGGGCAATCTTGAAGAAATTGAACTTCTCAAAGAGCTTGAATTGGAAGCCGTCCAGCAGGAGTGTCAGAGACTGGAGGAAACGCTTGCGTTGAACACTGAGTTGAAAGAGCAATATGAGCGAGTGCTAAAGAGTGAAGGCGCTGAAGTAATGTCGCTTTTACAAAGTCTGCGCGAAACCACATCAGCGCTGCGTAGTATAACCGCAGCCGCTCTTACCACTACAGCTGCGACCGCGACCCTCAGCATGTCTTCGGAGAGCCTCGTCAGTTCGCCAAAGGATCAAGAAGGTGATGGGGATGATGATAACTCTCAAGAGGACGACGCTGCCAGAAAGGATCTACCCTATTCGGAACAGAGCACCAGCTCCGACCGGGGTACAGCTCTTCAGCCACTAGATAGAAGGAAATCGAACACACAAGGTAGCAGCGTTGAAAGGGTTTTTTCCGAACAAGGAGACGATTTCTCTTCTCTGCAGTCAACTCACGTCCCCAAGGTAAGCGTTAGGGATGCATACGTCGCTTGTCTGCAATCGCTTTTGCACGATCCCACTACGGCCGTGCTTGCAACGGCGGCGACGGCTACCGGGACGATGCTGGCGTTTGACACCGTCGGCGCCAAGGAAATGGTAAACGGCAACGGTAGACAGCCGCCCATTAAGTACCATCTTACAGTCATTTCCACAGCACCAGAGCATGAAGCAATGGCCGGAACAGAAATAGTAGAAGAGGAGAAAAATGTGGGCAAATCAGAAACAGCTTCACCCTCCCAGCAAAAGACTCAGCTGCAGCGAGAGATGCAGCAGCAGTTACTTCAGCAGCCAGCGCAACAGCAAGATCAGCATAAGGATGGCCAGGGTTATGAAGGACCGCAGCTCAAGTTGACGCGAGAGTTCTGCGCCGAAATCGAGGAGTTCCTGTCGAAAGTTCCCAGCACTTCTGAACGAGACCTAACAGCCGAAATAACCAGTAGCCTACGAGCAGAAGACCCCTGCAGTACGTTTAGCGAACGAGGAAGAGCTTCTAAAGAACGCCAAATCGAAACAACATCCTCAGGATTGACATTCGTGGTTGAGTCTTTGGAAAGTCCCGATAAGAGCGCAATGCCCTACCTCCCTCATTCATCTTCAAGTTCCAGTTCGAGCGGGACCCCACCCATGGGACGCATGTTTATAAAGATTAAAAAGAAGCGCATGTTCGCCAAGCACGAGGACATTTCCGACGTGTCGAGTTCAAGTTCGGAGATTCGACTGACACTAGATGAGTTCGAATTCCTGCGTAGGGAAATCGGCAAAGGCCGAAAAATTGGCCAAGTCATCCCCGAGTCTGTGGTCAGCAGCAGCGAGGACATCACGTTCTCGGACGAAACCGAGGCGGTGTTCGTGGGAGATGAGCCCAAGACCCTATGCAACAGTCCCGTATCGAACCCACATACGCCGCTGCCGGACCCTGACGCATCCCTTCGTCTAAGCAAATCGTCAAGCGAAGATAGCTCGATTAACTGCGCCCACGAGCCAAACACAATGGCAAATCTCGATCTCAATATTATCTAGGTCACCGACCGTTAATTTCCTTGAACCAACCAAACGACAAAAGCGGACGCGAGAAAAATCTAAGCAAAAAAAAAGCGCCTTCTCTATGTCGTACGCTGTCCTATGTTCCTGTAATCAATCTATGTTTGATCATATTTGATGCAGACATTAACAAACAGCCTAACAAGCATGAAACAACGTAACGCACAGGTCCTGCTCAAAATCTGGTGTCCATCTCTGGCTTTCTTGAACATTGCATCTGATACCAGCGGCAAGAGTTTATAAACGCACCGGTCTATCGACATATCGCCGCCTATCGCAGGAACATACTGGGTTTAGAAAGTAAAATAGAGGACAAAAAGAAATACATGTGTAACAAGCAATGCTTGATGAGCGACAAATAGCAATAGCAGGGCAATGGCGCACACGGATTATTCAGATTCGGGGGCGGGCTGCTTCCTTTGTCCTAGCCAGTGACTGCATGTATCTGCATTGTGTGTCTGTCAATCAAGCAACGATGAGAGTAGGACACAGTTGCATGCGCAATAATTATTAATGAAAGATTATATCTAGGGACAATAATAATCAAGTCTATAAAAAAAAGGAAACCTAGGCAAAAATAAGAAAAGCACAAATGTTATTTCTACAATGTGGCGACAGACAATGGTGGTGATAGTAAGAGAATGTAAATAGTAATAAGCTACAATATGGTGATTTCTAACAGTACTACTGGTAGTGATGGTGACAGTGAAACGATATGATCATGGTAAATAAACAGAACATCAATAATGGAAATGATAGGAAGTGTCTTCCGAGGCTATCCTTTCTTGTTGAAAATAGGTTAATAGTAAAAAGGGAAAAGCAATGGAGGCCGATGTGATTGCTGGTCACCATGAATCTAAAGAATAATGGTCCTACTGCATTAAACAATAAACGGATGCAAGATTAGCGATGAAATAATTTGCAGTAAGTGGCAAGAACTTCATGTCTCTTGTAATGGAAGACAATAAAGAAGATGATTATCTACTGGCTCCTTGAAGAAGCAAATTGAAAGTTTCGTAGACTCGCAATCTTTTTGCACGCACTGCCAGCATGGGTCTTTACGATGGATAAGTTACACTTACGCAAAATCGAAGGAAATTCAAAATCAACACATTATTTAGGCCCCAGTTTACATCAATACGTTTACTGGTAAGCTAAAAGTTAAAATTATCAATTTTATATTTGGCCATCTATGCAACAACGCTTAACGTTATTTTTGAGGCGAGGTTTTCGATTGCTTCCGTCACATCAAATCTCTAGTTAGAGACAATTTTTTTTAGATCTAGATTTCAACTTCGATAATTATTAAGTCGAAATATTTGAGGGAAATTTGTAAGAATAGCTTTAAGGGGTAGCTTTAAGGGGGCTAAGTAAGTTAGATACCGTTTACTGGTTACGATTTTAGGCCCCACTTAGTATTTGTTTGTAGATTGAAAACTAGCTATTGGCCGTGTCAGCGTCGACGTGGCCTTTCGCCAGGGCCTTTCCACAACAGTAATGATAAATACAATAATTATTATATATTACGCTTATACATATTATTGTTGCTAGAATGATCGAAGGTGTTGCATATGCTTAGAGAAACCATAACAGTTGAGTACGAACGAGAAGGCTTGTAGGGATTATCTGAAATAACTACTTCGAGCGTTCGAGTACGAAACGGAGCAACTGACCCTGCACTTACTGCCCGAAGCTTAAGTGTATTCACTACCCAGGGCTACCCATTACCCACTATTCAGGGCCGACCTTAATTATACACGAACCTGATTTCAGTCTGAAAAAAAACTACTTCCTTTGAGACTCGCGCAAAAGCGTGTGTAGGATGGCTAGAGTGATACGCCCGGCGTAGATCGGACCCCAACCTCCCGGAGGTGTCAGAATTTTTGGGACCTCGTCCACTTCAAGGTTGCGTTGACGAAGTGGCTGACCCCGCTTAGAAGGCATTGTCCTGCATGCAATCTCTTTTTTACAGATTTTATAAATTTTATTTCAAATGAGCGTAAGGCACATACGAGAGAACAAATCTATGCTGGGTTTTCTATAAAGCTGTGTACTCCAAACACAGAGCCCTTTAACGGCCACCTACGCAGATCTCTGATCTAGTAGGACCGATATCAGCGATATCAATGCTTTACTTTTTCTCAAAAACGGCGTAAAAAATGTACCGAGCTGCTGTAGTAATTAAATATCGTATTCCATCTATTCTAATGTCGCCACCATATTATAACTGATCACGACACTGTAATTTCTGTATGTAATAGCACTCGTTATGGTTAGCTCAATTGACGACGTGCAAAACCTTTGTCGTCGTTAAATATACAATATTGATAATAATAATAGCAGCCGTAAGAATTACGGAATGGAAGACGGAATTGATTCGCTACTTTGTTCTGCCAGCTCTATCAGGAGTGTGTTTAGAAAGAAGAACTTGGTTTTAGCTTGTTATTGGCCTGCGGATATTGTATCAACTTGTTCCGTACATTTGAGCCATGGTACCCATTAGCGCTCACCAGCCATTAGCTGGTGCCTCTAACAGCCAGTGCTTCTAGGAGAACAATTATATGATAACGCTGAAATGGACGAGATTATATCCCATACACTAATCTCGCTATGCACCGTGGTTTCTTTGTCGACCTTAAGACAAAAAAAACCATTTGGTGGCCGGACACTGTTATCAATCAGGCCCCGCCAGAGGAAAAAAATAACAGCCGACCCTGTATGATGATTGTTAGTATTGTATGATATCTATTACTATTGTATTATGATAATATTGTTACTATTATCGAAAGATTGTCATTCATACGATTAGACTAGCAAGATGTGCCAGCAATAGCAATAAACAGAGAAATAAAAGAGCAACCAATAATAAAGCCACTGCAATCGATAGCAGAACAGCTAAATAGATACCGCGAAAAATTAAAGAGGGATACTTCATTTCGTGTTATGGATATCCACCAATTTCAGACACACACCCATCTTGTGTACATGTTGACAACGGATATGGGTAAATGTGAGATAGATCGATTACTAGCTAAAATTATCCGCTAAAATTACTGTATCTCCACACAAATAATAACAGAGTTCAGCAATAGCATTGGTAATAACAACGATAGCAGTTTCAACAGCGGCCGATAAATCCTGATATTGACAATAGAATTACAATCACGATCGTAACAAGCGATAGAAACATCGTGTAACGAATTGACATAAACGAATAAATGAGGCGAGACAAACAGAGCCAAAGAACGAAACGGCATCAATAACAGAAAAAACAACGCGGTTAACGTGTCGTTCCGAATACTCCTCACCCTCCTATACTTGTAGCGCTAGAAAGGAACGAAAGCACGACGATCATAATCATGATAATGAACTGAGAACGTTGCAGAGTGCGACGTACTACGACACTGCTTGTAACCTCACCCCGGCCCTTTTTCTCTATTGAAATCCTTCTAGCTGACCTCGGTTAGTGTGCTAACGTCCGATTCGTAGAAAGTATGTGCTGAAGGTTACTCCCGAAAAAAGTAGGCGGCGGCGGCAACTACCGATTATAAAGTGTCCAATCACGGCGACAAAAAATAATTGAAATAAAAAGGTTTTACAACGTTATCGCGGAGTATTCATTTCATCGACCATGAAGCCATTGAGAGAGGTTGCTGATATTGGCAAGAAAATGAAAAGGGCCAGCAAATCCGCTAAGTGAGTGGCTATTATGGCCTGCCAAAAAATCTCTACCGAAGCGGAATTAGAAAATGATTATCATCAAAAAAAAATAAGTACGTTTTTTATGAAATGTGCCATACGAAATCGATCGTCTAACTTAGGTAATTTCTAATTAAGTTCCGAACGAGCATGCAGTAACTAGATGGCCAATTGAATAGCATTCATTAATTCGTGAAGTACAAACTATCCAACATCAGTTCGTTCCCCATTTCCTAAGGAGCGGACGAACGAGACTTTCTGATAATTTGGGCGAGTTTTGTAACTCTTAGACTTTTGAAAATCCCTCTGAATTAACCCACAGCCATCGTTTTGATTTTTCTCTAGAAAAGCGTTATCTTTTTGAGCGTCATCGAACGAAGTACTCGGCGTAATTCGTTGACGCTATTTTGCGTCAACAGAATTCAGTTTGTTTCATCAAAAGCTTCAAAAGAACTAACTTCATCTTGTCATCCAAAAGGCAATTGTTTGTTATAGTCATTCGTTTGTATTTTCAAGGATACCACGGACATTTTCGGTACACTTATTACCCTCTTTTTAGCTTAAACGTACTCATGTCTTCAGAACGTCCTGGAGGCTTGCCATAATCATCGGAGAAGATTGAATACTTGACTATACTTCACGAGTCTGGGCAAATGTATTACGTTATTCCCCAGGGTGGCGAAATTTTTGTGACCACTTACGCTAGGCCGATTATCGAATACAAGGATAATGATGTACCTTAAGGCAGTGAACACAGATAGAAAGGTACGGTTTAAAAGAATTATGGCAAGTTTACTAAAATGTACTTGATCTAAATGTATTCATTAATTTTATAATTTGGATTGGAAAAATATCATTGTTGGACATGAAGTTACTCTAATGAATATAAAGTTCTTTCACAAGATAATATCAAGTCATTCCGCTATATGGCTCGCTATAGCGTATTATTCTACCATAAAATGGCGATACGGCTGCTTTCAGAATGAATCATCATCTACGGCCGGTTGACTTTTCTTTTCGGTCAGGGAAACAGAGTTGTTTAAGGTATGACGTCACTAACCCTAGCCCACAAATCGACTCAGGCCTAGATTTCACACTCTTATACTGCTGGTATTCTAGAGTCTGCCCTTGCGTCGGTTTTCCTTGCGGCATCGACCTAGCTGATGTTTAGAAGCGTCTGACGAGTCTTTAACCGCTCGCGCGTGCTATTTGCGACTCGGTGGCTATGAAATCAACTGACTGTCGAGTCTCAGCGACGATAGTATTTGTTTAATATGAGTGAAGGCCAGATCCAAGTCACTGCGATGGAAGACATTTACTTCGTACCTGTAGAAGATCGATTTGCTGAAGGAAAGGATCTCCTTGTTGGAGGAAAGCTAGTGCCAATTGAACAAAAGGAACTGATGGAGTTGTTTATTGAGCGCGAGGACACTGGTGACGTTCAGCTCTTTGTTGATGAGTCCGCTGTGAAGGCTCATAAAGCGGTGTTGACTGCGACAAGTGACTACTTCAAAGCGATGTTTCGGTGTGACTTTATCGAGTCTTCTGAAAATGAAGTCAATGTACCGGACTTTGATTTGCTCACAGTTGAAAGATTTTTGAAATTTATTTATACTGGAGAGGTGCATATAACTGAGGACAGTTTCCAGGAAGTGTTCAGTCTGGCTAACCAGTTCCAGGTACCGTCGCTTATCGCTCTCTGTGTTGAAATCTCTACAAAAGACCTCTCTTGGGAAAACTTTGGCCAGCATTATGCTGACGCCCATGAGTTTGCTCTACAAGGACACTTCGACATGTGCCATGACTTTCTTGCACAGCATTTTCAAGACCTCATTCGAAATCGGCCACTTCTTCGAGACATTCGTCCTGAAGCAATTCTCAACGTGCTTTCAAGGGACGATCTGTTTGTTCAATCCGAGGATGATGTTGTAGAGATCATAATTAATTGGGTAAAAATCAATCCGGCTGAAAGAGAGCCCGCACTCACCCATATTCTAGATCAGATTCGTCTTCCTTTTGTATCAATGCGCGAGCTAAGAAGGCTGGCCGACAGCTTTGGTCAAAACCCCGTTCTCAAAATGAAGACCCTACGTAGAGTGATGAGTGAGATGCATAAAGATGACGGAAAGTGGACGAAAGCCAGGCATCATTATAGAACCGCGGCTACACCGTTTATAAACTATGATGGCGAGGAAGAAAATAATTAGGTGATTCAAAGGTGGTGCAAATTTATATTATACAGAGACATGTCCATACATCGAGTGTAACGCCGCAAACTTTCATGTGCCTTAAGAGCCCCGGGACTTTATCGGAACAAAACATGTCTAGACTTGATGTCTAATACTGTGTCTGTGATATCTACAGTTTATAAAACTAACAAAGTCCGAAGAATAAAGACGTAAGCCTATGCCAACCAATATAACAGGCGGCTTCATAGTATTTGCCAGTTTGGTTACGTTTTGGTAAATAGTATAAAAGGGCCAATGAAAGTTATTCTTTGAAGCAATGCTGATGATAAATGTCCGGAAAGAATCTTCCTGATATAGTCAAATTTTTACCGACGCACTAGGCGGTTCATTTTGCAGAGTTCGCTTGAAAGTCCCATACTGTCAACCCAATAGCTTCCGAATTAAAGGCTGCCTTCGTAAAGTCAAGTCTTTTGCACAAAAACAATGTTGTAGCCATTTGGCAGAACCACTTGCTGTTTGGCCACCTTCATTAGCAGACCTGTGAGAAAAGATGCTGAATCTCTAACACCTCCCTTTTTGCTACAGGAACGAGGTGTTATTTAGCCGTACCATTTGAAATACAAATGTAAACGCCATTTACAAGTAAGGAAAGCAGTAGATCATACTCTTATGTATCATCTTTTGATGAGGTAACCCTTCACTGAGCACATAGGCTCAATTTTTGAGTTGTTTGCTTAGCTCGGTAAGCCTGTTTGTTCCTGAGAAAGTCGACGAAGCGTCCCCGTGTGTGTGTTTATGGACCTGTTATGCAATCTAGCAAAACGATACGGCCCACCTCTATCAATACTTTTTAAGTAAGTTCGCACGAAAGTAAGTTCAGTTAGTTTGCAGTCATTGAATTGACGCTGGAGATAGTCTACTTCCAATGAAAACATTTTTTTGTGACTAACTATTCCAAAGCGTGACCTTCTATGCGTTCTCTATCCGCAAAATTTAGAGCATCTTCATAAACAGTTAATTTTATTATTGGAGAACAATAGATTATATATGAATGATGTCGCTGGCAAACACTTATCGGTAAGCTTGATCCTTGCTGTACTAATATGTTTATGAAGGATATAACAAAATAACTCGTTTAATTATACCTATGTTTTAATAACTCAAATATAGTGTTTGCTGGAAACGATAATCGAAGGTTTGAGCTTTTGCCTTAACGTTTTTATTACCGAATCGTATACGTTATGACCAAAAAAATTCAATAAAAAAGATTTTCTATTTTTAAACTGTTTTATGCAGGCAACGTTGGCATGGGTCACGATTGGAAATGTGAGTTTTTCAAATACCAATGCAAAACAATAATATGTGAATATAAAAATAATTTAAAATTTTAGATTTGACGAAGCCTTCAAAGAAATGCCCTAAGATTTTCGAGTTTTTACAATTTATTGATGATTTGATACTCATTTTCGTTCGAAGTCTTTTGGCATATCCGGGTATAAAATCTTAAAGACTAACGACCAGTCTGATTCTCATTTTACCCCAACAAAACGATTTCCATATGAACGTAATTTGGAGAAAGTTAGAAAGCTAGAAAGCATCGCAGATGATTTAATAGCCGATTAGGTTTGCCTTTGTTTAAAGAAAAGTGACGCTTAACGGTCCTCGAACATACATCTCTTCGTTTACGAACGTTGCAGATCTACAACAATGCCTCGGTAAAAGATAGAAAATGCCGCCCATAGAAACATCCTAAAGATGTATTCCTACATCCTAAAGAAGGTTCGCTATGTTCGACTATCTGTGGTCGAGTAGTCAGTTTGGCAAAATGCTGGGCATCGCGTACTGTTCTGGTTGTCAACAGTCAGTAATGTGGGTTCCATATGATCGAATATATCTTCAGGCCTGTAACTTTCTACACCTAAAAAATAAATGATTAAAACTTCGCCGAGTTCTGGTATGAATGAATGAATGGTTCCTATTCGATATCATTTGGTCAGAGTTGAAATTCTTCAGCGTCTCTGGGTAGTAAGGCCTGTACTAGGATAAAACCAATTCCTAGTATATTGCGGGTATAAAGTAAGATTTACGCAGCACGTAGGACCATAGAAAATTCAAATGGAGAACTCCGTTTCAGAGAGAAGCACTAGAGGTCAGTTAGAGATCGACTTGAAGGCCCCCAGTCTGTACAATCGACATTCGAGATAGCGGCTTATTCGTTCGTCTTTTAACGCAAATACACTACGAGCGGCGACTTCCCAAAAAAAAGTTGGTGTTATTGTTTCGCAACTACTTTCTTTTTTACTACTAAGTTTTAATGCGGCACCTTGGGATCTGTTATGATAAATTAAATAAAAGAAAAAAAAAAACTACTTTTGAGCTCTTTACTGGCATAATGCACATAGATGCATCACCATAACCCAGGTAAGCCTGTGCGACAGAGCTCGTTCTGAGCCGTTCAAGAACATCACATACATATTCTTCTCCGAAACTAAATCTATCAGTTATGCCATCGCCATATTCGAAGCACTGTAGATAACAGGACTGTCTACAATGGCACTAACGCACGTCTACGTTCAGCAAAATTGGTACTATAATGGACCCGAGGCAAAAATAGATGTAAAATGGTAAAATCGAAAACCCAGTTAAACACAAATAGTGTTGGCAATTTGTAATGTACATTGAGATATATTTCGGCACCCATTGGCGATGATTTTCGACACCTGAGCTGAGATTATTTGAAGCATTTCTCTTTACAATATATTCACTAGAGTATTTATACGATGTCTGACATTTTTACACAGTCGTTGTATGTTCTGATTTGGAAAATTTCCCTAATTCGCCTGATCTCCTGACATTTTCGTATTGTACTGCATCCCCTTAGGGCTCAACGCTCTTAAGGGCATCAACGTCACCTTTTGCGTCGTTAGACTGCGTTTCAGTTAGCCGTGATAGTTCCTATTACTGCTGTAACCGTAGCTAGCCACTATAGCCTTCTTCATAGTTATATCCTCTATGACTGTTCTTATAGGCGACGGGACAACATTTTCCGTGAGCCCTGCCTCGGTAACCTACACCGAAGCCGGCGTAACGCGCTCTTTCGCGGCCATGATCAACGTAGCCTTTAACATAATTGCCACCTGCTACTATCCTGCATGGTCGTAGCCCCTTCACCGTATCCACTGTAGCCATGTCTGTGACCGTATTTACCTTTACTATAGTTGAGGTTGGCCAACGCTGACCTTGCTAAAGCAAATAGTAATGTAATCGATGAAGGCTGAAAGGTGGATAACAAATTCAGCCGCTCTAATGGCAGCAAACGGCGTAAAGATTGCTTTAGTGAAATATCACTGCACTTGGTTATATATATATATATATATATATATGTATAGCCTTGAAAGCCTTAAGGACTTTGTTGACTCCATTTTCTGTATAAAATGAAATCATCTAACGCCGGGCAAATCAAAAGTCAATTAAGACATATTTTAGTTATTATAAGGAAAAGTAAATGTTGTAAGACATTCAAGCATTATTATTTATAAGAAAAAAATATTACAAAGGAAACAGACTTCATCTTCACTTCTAGGTCGCAGTTCGTGCTACTGTAATTGTACACTGAGCCTATTTTCGAGGCATCTCATTACTACACGTGTCCTGACGTTCCCTGACCTTGTCTGTTCACTAAAGTATTTCATATTGGTAGCGTCGATCGGGAGTCATTTCATATCAAATTAGCAAAGCTCTCCTGTGAACGGATGCAGGTAAACGTGTTCGATAGAGCAGCAAACCAGAGGAAAGGAGTAGGCCACAAGTATTCATGAATTATAAATAGTTAGCTGTAACACATAGTACTCTGGGGGCAAAGCATACACTAACGCTCGGTTGCTGGTGGACGCTTTATCAATCAACATGTCCATCCCTCAATAAATAGCTTAAGATCGTAAAAATTATAGGAGATGGATAATTAAAGCAAGCAAATATAATGACCTCCTGTTATTAACTATTTTTCGTAGCTAACAGGTAAGTCAAAGACGAATTTTGTAAATGATTACTATTTTCTACAGAAAAAGCGAACTTTGTAAAATTGATATTCCTATATGTGATGCTTTTCGCTAGAATACCTTAGATTGCTGTCTTACATAAATTGTATCACTGTTATTATCACTTATATGACTATGCCTACTACCGTGAAACACTGATACACCAATAACTGGGCTCAAACTCAGTACTCTACTGAGCAAAAATGTGGAATTTGCATAGTTTTTTAAAGGGAGAAAACTACCAAAAACAAGCTTTAATTGTAAAGCATGGTAACGCAGATCCTTCCGACACGACCGGATGGATACCTTCAAGAAGGGATCAATTGTTTTAGCTGGATTATTTGCTAATTTAGTAACAAATGCTCGAACTTACCGCATGTTTGACGACATAGGAATAAATTACACATGCTTTTAAGAATATCGAATGTGAGATCCAGCCGATGGAGACTACCTCAATAAAACGAAGTGTTATTAACAAGTTCTGGAAGTGTTTTTATTGGGAAGCTAAGAAGTCAAATTACAATTGTTTACTATTTGATTCATGAATACTAATTATTTTAGATTGATGCCACTCTTGCCAGTTTACTTTTAAATATTTTATTTTTCAATAACTATCAACTGATATACGTTAGAAAGCAGCTTTTTTTTACACGCACAGACTTTCACTTATAGTTACATATTTCCTAAAGTTTCCTAAAGCCTTGGAAGTGTCAGGCCTTGAGAAGTACCTAGAAGTTAAATCCCAATACGCTCAAACTTAAAAGTAGCCAGTAAAATACAAAAAAAAGTTTTTTGTAATTTACTTTACTTTTCTGTATCGAATAAAAGAAACGTAGTAGTAAACATTGTAGCTTGGATGGTATGGCATCGACAGTACGTATCTTTAATTGGGTTTCGTAAAGAATCTAGCCCTATGATTTAGATATGCACTTCTTTTTTTAACTGAGGTTGATCCCTATTAAACGCTAGCTTTCTATATGATCGAGTTAACCTTAAGCAGAATTTTGATAGTCATTATCAGTAGCCCGGAAAGATACTCTCTAACCAAGTCATGAGCCGGCAATATTACGATATTGTACTGTATCGGAGACGGAAATTGATCATTGATCGTTATAAGAGACAAATACTAAATAGTGGTAAACGTTTTTTAGATAATTCTTTTCTCATGCGTGCAACAGACTATTTTCTACGTAGAACTGTTACAAGTTGTGCTAGAGTCCAACGAAAGCGATACTGATTTAAAATGGCATATAGAAATCGACCATGGAGCTCGTGGCAGCCAGCCGCCAAAAGAGGGCAGCACCAGTTCGATAACTTCAACGTAACCTCTGATCAAATTCGCTTTAATTAAAACGAGCAAGGCTGCTCTAGTGGCGAATGCATTCAGCTTGGCAGGCTTAACTTAACTGACTAAAGATAATAATCGTCAGCTCTCGGCCTTTTACTAATAACGTCATGGTACACCGGTACTTTCCCATGCAATACCGTATATATGGAGTGCGGCATCTACGTCCAAAACTGTATATTAAACATAAATATTTCAACGATTTTTTGCATGCGTTAAAAGTGCTATACCTAGCGGTCATATTTATTCAATGTACGCACCATTTACATAGATTACGGTCTTCATTCGAAATCGTAAATAAGAAATTCTCGCATCTATTACGCTTCATCACGTGTGTTACATTATTTTCCTGGCCAACTTGGTAGACGATTGTCCTCCGTTTCCGAGAAAGTTTTTGCCGTATAACATAAATCGGAACTTGGCAGAAAGACTAACGATAACTAAAGCATCCTTTTCAATAAATCTTACGTTATTCAGCTTCACATACTTTGTAGGTAAACATGATTTACATCTTTAGATGTCTGACAGAGGCTAAGGAAGAAAACCCCTCAGGTCCCTGTTAGTCTTTTTTCGTTAATAGTTTAAGCAGCAAACTTGAACGATCTGCTTCAATTTATGGCCTAGTTATTCACAAACCCTTCAAACAGTGTGTTTCTGTGCTGCCGAGGTTGCAGCAGTGTACGTTAACTGCGTTAAATGTAACAATCGTTGTATATGCGACAGTTGATAGTTTACATTGATAAAAAAGCTCAGGCGACATTATCGTTATATATAAAAGTAGAGCATCGATTAAGGGCCCGTGTAAATATGAACTTCACCCAACAACCTCTAATTTGCATAGACCTTTCTTTCTTTGCGTGCGGAAAAGAAAGAAGTCCTATGGAACAAATTCGAGCTGCAATATCGTATAGGTTGGCTGATTCGTTCCAAGCCAATCTAGATTCATTTCACACACGGATGCATTGGGTCGCAGAGTGCGTTGAATGGCTACATTTACGATTGGGTTTATGTTGCTACTGCGCCTCCAAGCAGTTGGTATTTCAACGCGTTGTTTAAGTCGAAGATCAGATGTAAGTAACTAACATATTTACACATACTAACATAGAGATACACAGGCGGTAGGCGTTTGATCATAGGCAGAAACGTTCAGCAGAGCTGACTGATCAGTCTATCTAAATAAACCTGGTATTTTAGGCACTAGAGATGAATTTATATTCACGTTAGTGTCATGAAGTCCGAATCGAAGCCTTTTTGGGGTTCTGAGAGGCTAAACTGCGGTGTCACGGTAGATGGGCTCCGTTAAATTAACGTATTTGTTAATGTTGAAACACGAAGTTGCAAGGAACTCGCTATGCTTATTTCAGAAAATCCCATTATTTCGAAGGATTTCAAAGTCCTAAATTAGTTGTTTTAATGTACCGTATTCAATTCCACCCACCTATCAGGATCGGCACAGCCGGAAGCAGACTGATAACACGCCTTTAGTTCCGGCGAGCTGTCGTAACTTTGATAACTAACTCACTCTGACTATTGAACAAATACGATGCGTAAACATAATAGAAACAGTTAAGTGTTTCACATGCAATAAATCGAGTGAAATTATGTTTGCACGCATGCGCTTAATTTAGCTGGCTTTAAATTTTGGGTCCCGATGATCTTGGTTTAGGACCCTTATCTTATGGGCAACAACTGAAGTTATGACAGCTGATTTGTTTAAGTACCTCACTTTTTTTTTTACTTATGTCACCTGGTACGTTTGGTTATTTTACTTAAACCAAACTTTCCTATGTCTTTATATATACATATAGTCTTGTATATATAACTGCATTATTTCTTGCCGTATGATGGAGCATTGATCTAATTATAATATATTATTATATCACGTCATCGAGCAATAATAATAACTCGTACTTGCTATTATCCGATAAGTGTCAACCAAAGTGCATTATTATTTGTTTTAGCCCAAGGACAAAATTTTCTGTATCTCTATGGATGTCATTTACTGCAGCTTATCTACACTATAGGGAATTGGAGTGGCCTTTTACGCCCCTGTTGATGTCTTTAACACACATTAATGGTAACCATGGCCTTACTTAAAAGAAACAACAAGCTGCAATCTACACCTGTAGTAATGATGAGATAAATATGGCTAACTTAATGAATGTACCAGACAATTACTTAAAATGTGAAGAAAAACTGTACAAATAAATCTTATCTTGCTATAATAAAACATAGTACGTTATCATTTCCGATTTACACATTCGTTTAATTCAGTTACATATTTAGTTTAGGTATTTATAAACTTAGTTTATTTTTTCCTATTCAACTCACTTACGCACCTTGACCAGACTAGGCCACTCTAGAAAGATGGAACTAGCTCATCAGAACCTATTAACTTAGAGTTCAAGTATTCTGTGTATATACAATAATAAATATCGTGTGCATTTGGTTTTTTTTCACATACTTGATAGTTCTGGCCAATGAGGTAGGGTAACTTCATAAACGCCGATGAAGATTAAACGGCGCTGAGAATGTAGAGATACAATTCGAGTATGAAGATTGATGACTGCACCTGTTTGAAACTGGCTTACGTTCGATCTCTAGAGGTTTAGAAATGGAGTAAATTGTCGTTAAGGCTACGCTTGTCTAGGTAAGGCTATGTGTCTATGCTGAAATTTAGCCCCTACAAACGAATATATCATATTAATAATTATGTAGCCAATAAACAGCTACGTAATTTATTTATGTTTCCATAAATGATTCGGGCCCGGGTGACGCTATCACCATTAGCAACATTATTTTTTTTCTAATTGTTCTCAGGTGTGAGATCTGACAACATCTACGAGCAGCGTATAGTCTGACGTTTATTCTAGCCATGCAATCCACAACCGATATAGGCAAAAGTTTCGTACTTTTCGTAGCTTTTTGTAATAGCTAATGGCGTAACCTTTGCATTCGTAGCCCCTTCCGTATCTTCCGGTGTAATTGCCGTAGCAGCCAGTGGAAGCGGAGTTAGCCAAACTGAGGGTATTACCCCAATTAGAAATTTCTAAAAAAATCGGCGACTCAATAGAAAAGATCTGTTTTCGAGGTTTACATTAGATACTTTTTTTTTGTTAGTCAACACAAGAAGCTTCAACAGGCAGCCCATACAGCGCATGTACGAATAGGTAGATGCCAACTCACCTTCAAATAGTACAGTTCTATTCTGTGCTTGCTATTCAAATCAAAGTAGGTAGTTATTATATGACAGTATTTTTGGCTATGACCGCGTCAACGTTCAAGGAGAAATCAGGAGTAGGATCAGGCACTTACTGCAATTAAAGGCCTCCTCGATAATGTGAATCTGTATATAGATTCTTCCTGTCTCTAAAAACATGAGAATTTTACATATATAGGTAAACTGCTGTATAATGTTAGTACTGATGTTAAGGCTGACAGCATAGCGTAACGTATGGTCGGCCTATTTGAACTTGTCGTGCCAATGTACGCAAACAAGTTACGCATTGAAAATATCTACTTCATGCAGAGCAGGAAATTCATGCATATATCTCTGCACAAGTTTGGGCCTGCACTTACGGCGTTGCTCGTCGATGTTTTGACAGAGCCAAACGTAAGACATTTGATTTGATGCCTATTGTATGTAACAGCTATAGAGAAGTGTGTTTAGCAGAGCGACTCCACAAAATGGAACCCAACAACCAAACGTCTCTAAGATTCTGATCAACAGCAGACTGAGACAAATCTATTTTCGATTATGGGGCCATAGCGGACGGCAGCATAGAATCACGCTAGACTGTTTCCGTAAGAAGGGCCTACGTAGCGGAAACTTTACCAATGCTAATGATTGTCTGAAATCTATTTAGGATCCAAAGTTTTACTCCAGCTTTGTCAGCTAGTTTAGCAACATTTCTGTTGAAAAAAAGGTAGGACAGAAAGTTTTTTTGCACGTAAGGATTGACCCTTGGTTTATTCATGAGACAGATAAGTGGATTGATATTCTGACGTTGAAATTCAACGGTCCGACTGACTTTGGCGCCATAGCAGCTACTAAATGGCACCGTAGATAGACGAATAATAAGTTGTATTTTATGCCACGAGGTGCCGATAGAAGAAAGCACGTTTTACCTTGAATTTTAATTACGATTGAATACAGAATTTCTATAATGAGAAAGGTTGAACCAATTTAAAAAATAAAAGAAGGTGTGAAGTCATCTTTCAGTGAGCTAAGGCGAGGGTTTAATAATAAATAATTACATACATACGATGATATACAATAAAATTCCAGGTTTGAGCCTTATAAGACATGTTTATCGTTCATGTCATTCTTGGTTTTATTGTAAGAAGGCTTGTGTAGCGTGAGATTTGCTTTCGTACTGTAATTTACTTACGTCCTTGAAACGGTAGCTCAAAGGTTAAGTCCTGTTGTGCACCAGAGCACCGCCTGGTTATTAGGCTACAATAGGGAGTACGAGCTTGCGCCTTACGAGGAAAAAATGCATAAATGACTCCGACTCATGGTAATAGTTATCTCCGCAATGCCTGCACAAATAATTCGGTCATCCTTTTGGTTCAATGAAATTCATAGCATTTCAATGGCGAGGTGCTATTTTCGATTATTTGTAGATGTCGCTATGCGCTGTTGATTTGTACATGTTAAAAGACCAGGGCTATATGAAATATTTTCAAGGCGGCAAAAAAAGAGTAAGATACGCAAATACATTTTTCGTATACTGATCACTGATACAGGATTCTACTATAGCAGGTTAGCAAACAAAGCTAACGATACCAATTTTGCCAGCAACAAGTATCATCAGTAGCATTGATATGCCAAACGCAACCTATATGTATTGAAAATTGCACCCATGTACCGTATTGCGAATGATAATACTAAACAATTCGGATTATCATAGTATAGGGGTGCCGCCCCAAAAGCTAACCCAAAAATTATCTATGAACCTCGGCAGATTACGGGAAACTTTATACGATAAAAACGAAAAAAAAAAAACCATTTCGGCGATGAACATGTTAGTACATGGCTTTTCTACCGCCCTCGTAACAACTGAGCATACGTAGACAGTCGTACCGCAAAGCACGACCGACACAAAGGATCGGCAAAACTCTCGTACTAGCATATTCGGAATACCGTACAATATATTTGAAACTACATGAAGCAGGTGAACGACATGTACAGAGAAGCAACGTTCTGTACCGCTTCAAGACGATACTAAAGGGTATTTATTTTAAGCTACGACAGCAGGCCGTTCCACCGCCCAAATCAAGCTCTTCTAATTGATTACAGTCAGAGAGTGGCCATAACGGCCCTCTAAACAGTAGTACATCTATGATAAAATTATCTGAGTTAATAAAATTAGCTAAATAAGACAAGCGTACGAGTTAGATGAAGGGGTGTATGAGCTAAGACATGTGAAGCTAAGATCATTTACTGACCAACGTTTTAGCTACCAGCCGTTTACGTGAGAAAAGTGCCTTTATTTTAAAATTTATTACCGGTATCGTAGTTTGGCATACCATCAACTGGTTTTCTTCCAGTACGAAACGAAGTGTGTCTATGCCCGGGCTTGAACGTAAATCATGACGTGTCCCTAAAGTGAACACGCTACATCACCCATTAAGCCATTATGAGAACAGATAGCGGGACCTTTTTAAATAGACAAATGCGCTATTCTGTTTCGAAAATTCCAGCGTGAAAAAAGGCAATGATTTATTCAGCACTTTGACTAGTGTTTATCAATTTTGAAGTAACTCTTTTCAGGCGTAATATGTCACCCCTTTTTTTCTAACCTCAAGGGTTTTCGTGAGATTTAGATTCCAATCTTATTTTAAGCTGTGCCCTCAACTTTGCTTCGTGTCAAATATTTTGCACTTCATTTGCTGGCTGTACGAACAGCATCGGGTCATTGTAGGCTATGACGAATGCGCAGGAACAAAAGCACGAGACCGCCAAAGAAGAGCGCATCAAAAAACCAGTACTGGACAATTAGCACGGGAAAGGCGTAAAAAACTGATGAAGTCTTCAGCCTTCTTTACAAGTTCACACTATATCTTGGAAACAGTTTTGTGAAACACTTTATGGGCTGCAAAATGGGATTTACCTACGGTTTTACGTCCCGTCTTTAACGGTTCACAGGATTTGTCTGTTCTAGATAATGGTGCTAAGCGAAACTTTATGCAGAGACACAACTTCCACACTTTTTTTTGCGAGGAATTGAAACACATCGTTTTTTATATTTTTGCTACGGTTAAAAATTGTTATGCAAATTTGGCCAGTAAATGGCAATAATATACTTTTAATGAACAAAAAATGGGTAAAAGTAGTTTATATATATAATAATATATTATATATATAGTATATATAATAATAGTATTATTATTATATATAATGAGATTTCAATCAGTTCAGAAACTTTTTGAGCAAAGACATAAGCTTTTTAACCTAAGCTAAAAGCTACAATTCTATGCAGTAAGTCTTCTATGAGTTTTGTTAGTTTTGGCTGATTATGACCAGCACATTGATACTAATAGTGATAAATAGGGTAGAAGGCTGTTTAACACTTATTAGATATGTACAAGCAATTAATGACATTCGAACTTCCTACACATACGAAACTTAAAACAACCACCACGTTTTTACAACGAATCAAGAGTTTTTTTTTTATTCAAATTTATGTACATTTCTACATATTCTCTTCTGTTTTTGTGTAGCGTAATAGTTGGTCGTAGTCTTGGGACGAGCTATCTATCGTGCAGCGTTCCGATCAGCTACGTCTTTACTAAGGCAGCTGACTATGTTGCTTGGCGATCATACAATTCCTAGCCATGATATCCACCATAACCGCCGTAACTTCCGTAACCGATCCCATAACCCTTTCCGTAACCGCCATAACCGGAGCCGTATCCACCGTACCCGCCATAACCTAGGCCATATCCTCCATAACCCCCATGTCCGCCGTAGCCCCCGTATCCGCTATAGCCCCCGTATCCGCTATATCCGATGTAACCGGCGTTAGCGACGCTAACAAGCGCAAGCACCACGACGAAAGCCGTCATCTGGAATACGTGTAAAAATCAATTGAAAGAAATAGTCTGGGGTCCTCGGTCGCGATGACGTCAGATCAGATGTAATGATCATTGTTGTCGTTGGCTTTAAAGACGACTTAGCATTGACCTCAAACAGACACTAGAATTGACGAAATCGACAATTATTTTTAGAGATCGGTAACAAGAAAATAGATCCTTAGAAAAACAATGGAAAAGCCTCGACCAAGAGCTACACGTTAGAGGCGTGTAATCAGAAATTTACGAGACTTGAGAACGGTACTCACGATAAAGTTCATGATATCGTTGCTTGATGGGCTTAGTATGCAATAGAAGGAAAGCTTCTTTGTGCTGTTGTTTCATTGTGGCTTGCGATCTGTTTTATATACTCTCCGAAAACGGGTTCCCCCGCGGTGGAAAGCGGTTCTCACAATGCGGCTGGTTGTGTCGAGTGACCAACGAAGCGGTGACTTCAATCAGCGTGGTTCTTCGAAGTGTAAGGGAAAGCCTAGTCGTTATGACCACACAGTTAGTTGCTGGAGACATCAATGGGCAGGACCAGCAATATTCTGGATGTGGAGGCATAAACCATTCAAAGCCGGTTCGTATTTCTGGGGCCAGTACCCACTTCTTTGTTACATCCGTTGCGGTTGTTTCCGTTCAACGCCGTGATCACGTGCTATGACGGACCGTCAACCGGTAACTTTCATCTGCCTCAAAAACTAACTTCAACCGAGCACAGTTTGTTTGTTTTTGTCATATGATATTGTGATAAGCAGCTCGGTACTTAGTCAACCCGCTTGACAGTAGCGTTGTATTTTTGCTCATCTAAAGCTTGTTTCAGCTGCTATATATATATATATATATACATATAAATAATATTATGCTTAGCTTCTTAGTGCAGAATTATAGACGGCATTATGGTAATTTCATTTGTCATTAAATGATAAGGAGTTCTAAGACAACTGACGTCGCTTGTCTCGTAGACTTTGGCTGATACGATTCTGGTGCTGGAGATTTTGAGTCGCTGACAAAAATTCTAGCAAAATGGGGATTAACCTTTATAAAAATGTACTTTTATTTTACTTTAAAACATATCCGCCATCTTCCCACAATAGTCCTCGTTAATAGTGAAGTTATGATTACTTAGTGAGTTGTTATTGGACCATTTGTTACAAAGAATTTAATAAACCATTGCTGCAAGGATCTTTATTCTAGGAAAGCGTCAAAAGACTTATTCTGTACCTTAACTTTGTGTAAATGCTCTGTACTTAATAGACGTACAGCTATGTCCGTCTCTAAGTAATAGTTCACTAAATAACAATTTACCTTGGGAAAAACGCCTAAAAGATCTATGAGTTAATGTGACCCACGTCGGTAATCGACTCGCACAGGTCTCTGACCAGTGTTTATTTGTGTCTGACAAAGTGTGTCTGACATGTGTTTGTTTACTAAACTCAGGAACCTATGAGGTAGTTCCGGCTCGAAACGAGGCGTAGAGACATCTTGTATTGTAGTAAGAGTCGGGCGCCTGAAAAAGGCTTAACGGTAGTACCAGACATGGAATCCAGAAACATCTGTTTAGATACCAACCGTGAAGTGAACAGGCCGCCAGTGCTGCTTGATACGTACATGACATTAAAAAAATGTCAAATATACGTACATTCCAAGTTCAAATAACCTATACGTTTCCTATTTTAACCTACAACGCGACAGATTATCCTCAATAAAGAGCCCATCTACTATGCACGCAATATACGTTTTTTAATCAGTTAAACAATAATGCTTAGCAAAATTAAACGTCAAGGCAAATCCGCGGATTCTTTTAAAAAATCCTATCAGGTTCATTACAGAACAATATTCCTACTCAACGGTAAACGCGCCCAGTTATATGAGATACACTGTTTTGGCGTTGTCTTAGTGACCAAATAGTAAGTTGACGGTCGATTAAATGTTTCAGCTAACCCCCTTTCGAATATTGAATTTACTGCTCATTATTCTAATGAGTTGTATAAATAAGAAAAAGCATTTTGTAAACGACCATAAAAAGCTCAATATTTGATCGTTAGTACTTTTTAGTTAAATAGCTAATTAGCTGAAGAAAAGAAACACGCATAATATCTAGAAGACGTGTTCATCTTACACACATTGTGTTTCCGTTAAAAATACATATTAAGAAACACTTTTTAATAAATACGAAATGGCAACTGACTACCCGCTTTGTAGAAAACATAGTCCCATTCAGATCATCATATCATCCTGGCAACACAAAGGTAACAGTCAATCACAAATATTTTTAAACATGGAAACCTCTTATTGGCTAATTGTTATCCGAATACGTGGAAGATGACAAATTGGCCTAAATGGCGACATTGCAAACATAACTTACATACGTTCTCCAGCAATCTTTGGAACACTAGTAGTATTATTAACGGAGGTCGAAAGTTTAAAATGGACAGATTGGCCTGATATAATTGGGCCTGGAAATTCGTCGTCGTAAGCTTGGAAGTGGAACGCAAAGGCTTCGCCCCTGGTTTCCTCAGCACAGGCACGTGGTCGTTATCGACTCATTCCCGAAGGTCCACTTGGTCCATTGAGATTCAGGGTACTGATAGTCTCTTACTATTAAAGAACTACTGCACCAAAAAGATGTCCTTTTACTATGTAGCATATTTTGTAAAGCCCATTCAAGTTGAATAGTCTAATGAGCAGTGAACAGGATAATTTTTGCACCGTGAAATTATAGCTCGGAAGTGAACTCCTCTGCAGTGTAACTTATAAAAAATAATGTTATTACCGTTTCTGGGCATCTAGCTGGTTTCTGGTTCCATGCCGTGGTGGCATTCGTTTTTACTTTTGAATCAGGACAATGTGATTGGATTACGTACAGGGGGACATGTCGACGCTTAAGTCACAAAATGTGAACCCAAGCCTTTTTCAATAAATGATCCAAGAAGCGATATCAATAGTAGAGCTTCCTTATGAGGAGCTTAATTAGGGTTGGTGCATTTTCTAGAACAGGCCTTACTGCTAACGTGTTCATCCGGCGCTTCTACCGACAGCCATCGCTCTAAAAAAGGCCGATCGTTTGAATTGATCTCTTTAGGCAGTCCGGCGTTTGAACAATACGACAGCCTTCAATGCTTCAAGATAATTAGAACCCCCGCTGCTCGGCCCATAAATCTGAGCTTCCTTTTGCTGAAAGACATATTCTAATGGTAAATGTTACTCTTTTGTTTGATGTTTGATCTGTGAAGGTAAACTAAATACTTAGATTGCTTTTGACCCCACATAAAGTCTATGTGTGCTGTACGTATACCTCATACATATGTCGTGGTTGTTGTATGAGTCTACTTAGGCTCGCATAGGCTTATGACAATCTATGTTACGCAAAACCAATTAAAATTAAATAATTAAATTTTAAAAATGGACTTCATTAGAAGTCGACTTCTGTAGCTGTTCCGTACTTTTACTCACAAATAAGGATACAGAACAGGACATTTTCAATGAGTTCGGAGTGCTGCACCTTGACCAAACCCTAGCAACGATAAAACGAGCCTTTATTGTCTACGAATGGCCATAATTATCGACTACAACACCACCCGTCCTCCACTGTCCTTGTTATTAACTACTATTGTTATTTAAGCGTATAAACTAGTGTTACTTGCTATTCATATAGCAGAATAAGGAAAAGTGTGCAGAACAATTATTTGGTATTTATAAAAACGACACAAGCAATGATGACGGTGCTAGTAATCGTAAGTATATCTAATATACCGTTCACAAGAACTGACATATAGAAACATGCTCATACACAACTAAAATACATGTCGCGAACGAACGCCTGTAAAAGTTGACCTTGTAAAAAGTTCGTTTCCAATTTACGGCAATTTTACGTTCGTAAACTCCTAAACGCGTGGAAAAGTCGACAGCGACCACAACAACAATTACGAAGTCATCGTTATGTAGCATTTTTGTCCGTGCACAGATTTAATCGTCGACAATTATGCCGTCACGTTCTGGTCACTGCCACTAATGTGAACTTAAATGGTTGCGTCAAAAATTGTTAGTTAATTTGCCGAGCTAGCATTCATTATATTTTACCCCATCCAACCCCCAATTCTGCCGATCCGCCACTTCGTCAGTGCATTTGCTGGCTGACTTCATTGCTACATCATCCATTCACGCCAATGGGAACGAAGCGTTATTAGTATCTCTATTTGATTCGCTATAGAACGTCCGTGTCTAAACGTTTCCGGTTCTATGTGAGTATATGACATATGCGGGAACAAACAGATACAGCGGAGGTCGAAAAAATTTGTCTACAACAACTCGAATTCAGCAGGAGTTTTTTGCCAGGTCACATCGTTGTGTTTATTATTATCGTTATTACGACATGTAGTATAACATTTTGTCTACAACAATGTGTCGGCACAAATGTATATGCGAGTAAATAAATAACGACGTTAATTAGAATTAGACGAAACTAAGTTTCAGTAAAGGGTTGAATAAATCGATTTTTGATATCTGGGTCGGGAAATCACAACGATGCTTCAGCATACCGTAATATAGCGGTATAATAGACTACGGTATCTGATGGTATAATGTCAGAAATAGCGAACGTGCAGGGTAGGTGTTTACCCGTGTATGAAGTGGAGGCGGACGCACAGAAAAAAAATATATATATACTTGGAAATACTATTTTAGGAATAAAATGAAGTCCTTATGATGGATTATGTTGGATTGCCTTTCTCAATTATAAACTTACCGACAATCGAAACCGTAAGCAGGTCAGGATACATCGATAATTTGCTTTACCATACATGTATTTTTTATACAAATGAAGAACAACAACCAATACAATAATATTGGTATAATAAATAACGACAAGGTTCAGGCCTGTCCATGTTTTCCTGTTGTTAAATATATAGAAAATTCCTTAATTAAAAAATCATTCCGATTGAACGGATAGCTAACTGGAACGTCGCTACCAAGACCCGTTAAAAGGTGTTTGAACAAAGTATAAGCACTTATGACCGCAAACAAAGACCAACATATATCTAACAAAAATTTTGTAACGCCAAGTCAAACTGTACACGAGAGTATGCATTTGGTTGCCGAGTTCTGAGACCCAAAGTCTCAAGGTAAAATATAGCAAAACTACCGTTCGCAGCATTATGGCTGCCACTGGTGACAACGTCGGATACGTGCACTTTCATTGGCAAGCAGATTGTTCTTTCGCTGGGTGCTGGGTCGACAGCAACAACAACGGTAATTGCCACCAAAGCGGGACAGGATCACACGTAATTGCTATAAGAAATGACTTGTTTAGAAATATTGGAACTTGTAAAACTA